GTCTGTAATCATTTAGTCCTGTTGGCCTTAGCTTTTTGGGCACAGGGATGATGGTGGAGGACTTGAGACAGGCTGGTACATGGCATGTCTCCAGGGAGGTGTTAAAGATGTTGGTGAACACCGGAGACAGCTGGTCAGCGCAGTGCCTGAGGGTGGCTGGAGAGACAGAGACCGGCCCGGCTGCTTTGCGTGGATTCTGCCTCTTGAAAAGTCTATTAACTTCTCCCTCCTGAAAGGAGATAGTCGTCTCTGTAGTATTGGTGGGGGATGGGGCCTCTTGGGTTGGAAGGGGTGGTTCAGGACAGTCCAATTGTCTTTCAAATCTACAGTAGAACTCGTTCAGGTCGTTGGCTAGGCGGGAGTCGTTAGTGGTGTGGGGGGCTCTGGGTTTGTAGTTGGTGATCTGCCTGAGCCCTCTCCAGACAGAAGCAGCGTCGTTTGTAGAGAACTGGTGTTTTAGTCTCTCTGAGTACAGTCGTTTAGCCTCTCTCACCGCTTTGCTAAACCTGTTCTTCGACTCCTTGAATCTGTCTCTATCTCCACTCCTAAACGCTTCCTCCTTCTCCAACCTCAACCTTCTGAGCTTTGCTGAGAACCAGGGCTTATTGTTGTTAAAGTTCACCCTGGTACGTGTTGGGATACAGCAGTCCTCACAGAAGCTGATGTAGGACGTCACAGCCTCTGTGAGTTCATCCAGACTATTGGTAGCAGTCGTGAACATATCCCAGTCAGTACAGTCTAAGCACGCCCGCAAATCTTCCACAGCCTCACTGGTCCACTGTTTAGATGTCCTCACAGCAGGTTTACAGAGTTTTAGTTTCTGCCTGTATGCAGGAATCAGGTGGACTATGGCATGGTCAGAGTGTCCTAGTGCTGCTCGGGGGACGGCGTGGTAGGCTCTACTGACTGTAGTGTAGCAGTGATCCAGAGTGTTCCCTTCTTTGGTTGGGCATTTAATGAATTGTATGTATTTGGGGAGTTCGTGGCTGAGATTACCTTTGTTAAAGTCGCCAAGTACGATAACCAACGAATCTGGATTTGCTCGCTCCACACTCAGAATCTGATCGGCGAGCATGCGTTAATGTAAAAACAAATACCACCGCCTTTCGTCTTGCCGGAGAGTGCTATGTCACGATCCGATCTTACAAGATGGAATCCTGCTAGTTGTAGCGAAGTGTCCGGAATCAAATCACACAGCCATGTTTCCGTGAAGCACAAAGCAGAAGCTGAAAGAAAGTCTTTGTTTTTTACCATCAGTAGCTGAAGTTCATCCATTTTGTTGTACAGTGAACGTACGTTGGAGAGGAAAAAGCTCAGAAGCACTGTTCGGATCCCGCGTCTGCGTAGCCGTACTAGAGCCCCCGACCGTTTACCCCTTGGGCGGCGTTTCGCTGCTTGAGCAAAGCCTAGCGCGGCATTGACTAGAATGCCTACTAATTCTGCCGCTGGAAGCAGAAAAGTAGGAATTAAATCCACAGGAGTTGTTTCCCTGATATTTAAAAGTTCGTCTCTTGTTAAAGAACTCCGAAAATCTTGGCAAAACACTGAATTGACAGACAAAACAAGACAAAACAGGGCGCACCGACCGGCTGAGGCTACTATCATCGGCGCCATCTTCGCACCAGCACGGGTGTGCTGAACAGCAGGACTCTCTCACCAGCACTGGTGTGTTGAACAGTAGGCCCCTCTCACCAGCATGGGAGTGGTGAACAGCAGGCCCCTCTCACCAACACGGGTGTGATGAACAGTAGGCCTCTCTCACCAGCATGGGAGTGAACAGCAGGCCCCTCTCACCAACACGGGTGTGATGAACAGCACGCCCCTCTCACCAGCACGGATGTGATGAATAGTAGGCCTCTCTCACCAGCACGGGTGTGTTGAACAGCAGGCCCCTCTCACCAGCACGGGTGTGCTGAACAGTAGGCCCCTCTCACCAGCACGGGTGTGCTGAACAGCAGGCCCCTCTCACCAGCACGGGTGTGTTAAAACAGCAGGCCCCACTCACCAGCACGGGTGTGTTAAACAGCAGGCCCCTCTCACCAGCACGGGTGTGTTGAACAGCAGGCCCGTCTCACCAGCACGGGTGTGCTGAACAGCAGGCCCCTCAACACGGGTGTGCTGAACAGCAGGCCTCTCTCACCAGCACGGGTGTGCTGAACAGCAGGCCCCTCTCACCAACACGGATGTGATGAACAGCAGGCCCCTCTCACCAGCACGGGTGTGCTGAACAGCAGGCCCCTCAACAGCAGGCCTCTCTCACCAGCGCAGGTGTGCTGAACAGCAGGCCTCTCAACAGCAGGCCTCTCTCACCAGCAAGGGTGTGCTGAACAGCAGGCCCCTCAACACGGGTGTACTGAACAGCAGGCCTCTCTCACCAGCACGGGTGTGATGAACAGCAGGCCTCTCAACAGCAGGCCTCTCTCACCAGCACGGGTGTGATGAACAGCAGGCCTCTCTCACCAGCACGAGTGTGTTGAACAGCAAGCCCCTCTCAAGACAAAACTGGACAAAACAGGGCGCACCAACCGGCCGAGGCTGCCATCATCGGGGCCATGAACTCTGTCCTAGTGGTCTTCCCCCCATGTGTACTGTCGCCTGCTGACGTATGTACTGCCGTACACTGTATTTATAACTTTCAGTCGGCAGACGGCGCTATTACGCTACATTTGGAATGTGCTAACCCAGCGGCCCCCACCCTTTTTGGCACCAGGGACCGGTTTCGTGGAAGACAATTTTTTTCACGGACCGGGGGAGGGGGGGGGTTCATCATTGGGTCTTTCCCCCTTTTCAAAGAAGCTCTCCAGCGACGTTTGTTTATTACACATTGTGGCTACTAGGGGGTTAGAGCTTGTGGGCTTTATACCAACACTGTGACTGAGACAAGTGCGCAGTGCGGGAAGGAGGCGCGGACGGAAGTGGTAAATAATAAAATAATGGGGCGGGCCACACGCGGACTCACCGCTCACCTCCTGCTGCTGTGCGGCCCGGTTCCTAACAGGGGGTTGGGGACCCCTGTGCTAACCCACCAAGCAGGGTAGGTAAGCATTCTCATTCGTGATATTCGATATTTCAGAGTCCGTATTTATGGCGTCCATTGCATTAAGACGGGCAAAGTGCGTGTAATTTGGAGACGGACAAAGGCATCTCGGGGATCACAGATAGCTTGGTGGTGATGGCTATGCTGTACGTAGCCTCTAATCCAGCACCGCAGAGGCAGTGAGGGTGGCTGGACCGCACACGTTTTGCGAAAATCCCTTCCCATGGACGTCGAGGAGGTGCCACTCCCCGGCACGCCGGAAGAAGGCAGTACAGCAAAGTGCAGACTAAATATTGTAGATCCCTTCTGTATGCGTGTATGTTGAACTTCTTTTGCACGGTACGGAGCCAATTGTGCGAATTGGAGGGATCAACACTCATTAACTTAATTTGCAGAGGACTGCAGAGCTTGGCTAATTGTTGGTGTTGGCTCACAGCCTGTATGCCTGAGGTTCCTCAGCGATGGTGAGATGCAATTTGCAATGAATGATGACGCGATATGAAACTAAACATGAGTATTAGCAATAGGTGATGTTTTAGTGCGTTAAACGGTGGCTGTATCACACGCACTCAGAGGTTCTGATTTGTAATAATCTTGAAAAGCGTGTTACTAAATTTCTGCCAGTAGATGAAGGCGCTATTTTAGTTAGTATTGGCGATGTAATGCGGGTTAAAGCTTGCGCACAAATTGGAGGCTTTGGAAGATAAGCCTATAGAGGTGTTTCACGATAACATGCCATGTCACTTTCATGCAGTAGAGAAGCAGCAGCTCGCCTGCGTTTAAGTGACTCGGTACAATGGTGAGCACAATGCTTGATAAGTAGGGACGTGCTCACCCAGCCATGGATAGAACTAAATAATGAAGCAATTCTGCTGGAGCTTTTCTTTTGTTGGCGGCAGGCTACCTATCTGTAATACCCAATTCTGACGTGGCATTGTGCTTGCCACTCACCCCTTCATGTGCCATGCCGGCCTGTTAAGGCTATATGGGGGATCTTTGTGTTTGTGGAGAGAGTGAAGAGTTTTCCATACCTGGGCAGTGTGCTCATGACCAGCTCCGGTTTGACAACAGAGGTCTCATTCCGAATCAGTCAAGCGGCATTAACTTTCCATCAGTTGCGTAAAGCTACCTGGTCTGTCACTCCCTATGAAGCTTCGGATCTTCTCGGCCAGTCATGCCCTCCCTTCTCTACGCTTGCAAAATGTAAACCCCCCTAAAGGAAAATCTTCCCTGGTTAGAAACATTTAGGCTGGCCTGCCTACGATCCATCCTGGGTTTAACCAGGCTGGATTGTGTGAGGAGCTCACAGATCTTTAAAAGATCTGGACAAAATCCCATCGGTGAGCTCCTCTGGCAGGCAAGGTTGCATTAGTTGGGTCATGTAGCCCACATGCCTAAACAGCTTTTGTTCAGCCAGATAGAGGGGGCTAAACGAGAAGAGATGGAGTGATGTGGTACAAGAGGATGTGGAGCTGAGTGGACTGGTACCAGTGGTGTCTAGATCGGCCTAATTGGAGGAGGCTCGTGAATGCTGCTGCTGGGCAGTTGGGTGGCTGAAGCACAGCAAGTTGGCACAGTACGGGGCACAGGTGGTGCATCGGCCATTCATTTCAGTCAGTGGACCCCTGGCACCTGGGTCTGCCCCATAACCTCCTACCAGTTGGCCTTCGACTCTTCACGTGATCTCAACATGCACATAGCCTGGCACAAGCGATGTGGTGAGGTCACCGCCACTTAGTGGCGAATGGCGGTTGTTGTGTCGACCTGTATGGGTGGTCTGTGTAATGTAAAGGAAGTGTTTTTGGCGGCCGCAAAGTCCTAAACTTTTTAATGAAAAACAAATGGAACAGGTTCCCTCTTGTGAACAGCACTTACTGCAACACAACATTGAGAAACAACGCGCACCACGGTAACTCCCGGGTCGGCCGCAGCGAGATTCTAAACGGCAAACCCCTCTGTGCCGTCACGAGCGCCGCCACCACCGGCCTGTCCCCCCTCCCCCGAACGCCAACGACGACACCTGGTAACCTACCCGCTGGAAAAAATTAACGGTGCTCAAGCGGTTACGTAGCTCAGTGGGACTTTATCCGCTAAAATATAAAACATTTCAGTTTGTTACTTTTTAAAAAATAATTTTTAATCTTAAAAAGTCACCGATCCGTCGCCGATACCTGAAAGATCCAGACGCCGATACCTGAAAGATCCAGAATGAAAGCGCCCGCGAACATATCTCCTGGATGGTGTCCGGCCCTAGGCCCGCCAGCACCATGGACTTGTGCTCCTCGGGGGGGTTCAAGCAGACCCGCACCACGTCCAGGCTGCCGCGCGGCAAGGCGCCGCACGCCGGGCAGGCGACCGCCCCCGTCTTGAACTCGCGTTCACCGTCCTCGTCGCAAAAGAGGTGCGAGCAGGAGGTGACCCAGGCGAAGTCGCCGACAATGCGCTGGCACTTCCTCAAGTTGCACACCAGAATTTCTTCGTGCGCCGACATTTCCTCCCCGCCTGACCACTGGCCCCGGGGGGGCCGCCAGTTCTTCTGTTCCAGTCGCCGCCGTTCTGGTTGAGGGAAACGAATCGCGGGTGAAACACGTTTTCGCATGGAGCGCGCAAAATGCGTTCGCGTTTTTTTTTTGCGAGCTCCTGCCGTTTACTGACCGGCTGAGAGCTCCAGAGAGAGCACCGGGGTGCGGTCTCGTTCGTTAAGGGCGGCGAGAGATCTTGGTCAGGGTAATGACGGAAGCAAGTGAGGTAAAGTACGATGGCGAAGCAAACAGAAATCAGTTGGGAGAGCAACGGTTTTAGAGGATAAATTGCTGAGCAGGGGGAGTGTTCTGACCTGCGGTTTGGTGAGTGGGTGGATGAGTTTGTGGGTGAGTGAGCGAACTTGTAAGTGGCTGATGGGCTGGGTGTATGCACGTTGAACTTATTTCACACCGTACAGAGCGAACCGTGCTAATCGGAGGTACGGGTAGAGGACAAGAAACTAAACACAAAGACCAGTGCAAAAGAAATTAGTTTTCAATCAAGATGATTTTAAAATGCACAGTTTCAGTGGATTCCTAATAGCAGAAGGAAAATGGTTCCAGACGGACGCAGAAGCGCATCTGAAAATGCGCAACGCTTGCCCAAAAACCTCTGCGAGGGTGAGTGTGTTGTGACCTGCAGGGTGGTGGGGTGAGTGGATGGGTTTCTGGGTGAGTGAACTTGTCAGTGGCTGACTGGTTCAGTGAGTGTCTTGTTGTGCCTGCAGTTTGGTGAGTGGGTGGGTGAGTTAGTGGGTGAGTGAGCCTGTGAGTGGCCGACTGGCTTTAGTGTGCTGTCGTGACCTGCAATGTGGTGAGTGGGTAAGTGGATGCGTGCGTGGGTGAGTGAGTGAACTAGTCAGTGGCTGGTTGGCTCAGTGAGTGTCTTGTTGTGCTTGCAGTTTGGTGAGTGGGTGCAAGTGAATTAGTAGGTGAGTGAGCCTGTCAGTGGCTGGCTGGCTTAGCGTGCTGTCGTAACCTTCAATGTGATGAGTGGGTGGTTGGATGAGTGAGTTAGTAGGTGAGGGAGCTTGTCAGTGGCTGACTAGCTGTGTTGAGTCCTCACCACTTGAGATTGGGACGGATTGGGGAGGCCTTCGTTCCAGAAGTCGATTGACAATGGCAGAGGATAATGACTGCATGCCACACTCAATGTGCCGTCTGTATTCATCCGTATTGTTAATGTATGAATACGCCTGTTGCTCAGGAAAGCCCCACTGAGTCTCAACTCTTCTTCAGGAGGGGTCCTGCCAAGTTTGCACAAGAGGGGGCGATGTTGCTGTGATCCCTCCCACTGAGCCATTTCCAGGTAATCTTTTAGCTTTGGGATGTGGTTCTGGCAAGTACCAGTTCCACTGTGTTTGTGGGTTTAGCTATGGGAGGGAAACTCGGAGGAAACCAATGGAGATCACACACATGCCACTCTGTAGTACAGAGAATGATCACACAAACCATTGCCGGACAGCTGGGATCACTCCGTGTAGAGTGCTGTACAGTATCTAAATGTGTAGGGGCCATCCTTTTCGTGCGTACGCAAAAATCTGTCAAAACCTGACCCCGAACGCACGCGGACTTTTTACACACCCCCCCCCCACCTGCCTACGTACGTTCGCCTGACGCATCACCCCCCCACCCCCTAGAATCGGCCGTAGAACGGCCGATATGTAATCCACGCAGAAACGATCAATTATTCATATTAACGTGTTTAAGCAAACAGATAGTCCACCGCCGGCTGCATTATTATCGAGGCTTCAACCCCCCCCCCCATTTCCTATGCGTACATTGTGAGTAGACCCCTCCATATGCAAGCGTACGCATTTTGGGTATCCCCCTCCATGACAACGAACTAAATGGATGGCCCCGTATCGGGAAAAATCGGAGGACCCTGAGACAAATCCACGCAATCAACATGGGGAGAGAGACGCAGACTCCAAATATACAGCAGCAGGAGCAAGCGTGGTCAGGGCCTGGGCGCGAACCGACGATCTCCTGTAGGCCAGGCGAGGATGTTAACATCTAGTCACCGTGATGATAACAGGCGAGGTAGTTAACATCTCCTAGTCACCTTGATGACAACAGGCGAGGTAGTTAACATCTCCTAGTCACGGTGATGATGACAGGCGAGGTAGTTAACATCTCCTAGTCACCGTGATGATAACAGGCGAGGTAGTTAACATCTCCTAGTCACCGTGATGATAACAGGCGAGGTAGTTAACATCTCCTAGTCACCGTGATGACGACAGGCGAGGTAGTTAACATCTCATAGTCACCGTGATGATAACAGGCGAGGTAGTTAACATCTCCTAGTCACCGTGATGATAACAGGCGAGGCAGTTGACATCTCCTAGTCACCGTGATGATGACAGGCGAGGTAGTTAACATCTCCTAGTCACCGTGATGATAACAGGCGAGGTAGTTAACATCTCCTAGTCACCGTGATGATAACAGGCGAGGAAGTTAACATCTCCTAGTCACCGTGATGATGACAGGCGAGGTAGTTAACATCTCCTAGTCACCATGATGACAACAGGCGAGGTAGCTAACATCTCCTAGTCACCGTGATGATAACAGGCGAGGTAGTTAACATCTCCTAGTCACCGTGATGACAGGCGAGGTAGTTAACATCTCCTAGTCACCTTTATGACAACAGGTGAGGTAGTTAACATCTCCTAGTTACCGTGATTATGACAGGCGAGGTAGTTAACATCTCCTAGTCACCGTGATGATGACAGGGAAGGTAGTTAACATCTCTTAGTCACCGTGATTATGACAGGCGAGGTAGTTAACATCTCCTAGTCACCGTGATGACAGGCGAGGTAGTTAACATCTCCTAGTCACCTTGATAACAACAGGTGAGGTAGTTAACATCTCCTAGTCACCGTGATGATAACAGGCGAGGTAGTTAACATCTCTTAGTCACCGTGATTATGACAGGCGAGGTAGTTAACATCTCCTAGTCACCGTGATGATAACAGGCGTGGTAGTTAACATATCTTAGTCACCGTGATTATGACAGGCGAGGTAGTTAACATCTCCTAGTCACCGTGATGATAACAGGCGAGGTAGTTAACATCTCCTAGTCACCGTGATGACAACAGGCGAGGTAGTTAACATCTCCTAGTCACCGTGATAATGACAGGCGAGGTAGTTAACATCTCCTAGTCACCGTGATGATGACAGGCGAGGTAGTTAACATCTCCTAGTCACCGTGATGATAACAGGCGAGGTAGTTAACATCTCCTAGTCACCGTGATGATAACAGGCGAAGTAGTTAACATCTCCTAGCACATTCCAAACCCTGCACAGCAATCAAATCGCTGGGGATGGGAGGGGGGGTGTAAAACGTCGTATTTCCAAGCAAAGTAAAATGTTGTGGACCCCATGAGGCTGATGAAAGTTTCGCCCTTACGAAAGCGACGCTGGGTCGTGGCTCACAGGGCGATACCAAATAAAAAATAAAATAAATGAATTAAATCCATCGCCTCACAACTTTTTGAGGGTTTCCCGCGCTTTTTTTATTGTTTGTGTTTAGTGAGACACCACGTCTGAGGGTAACCCTCAGACGTGGTGTCTCATCACTACTATGAGGCGACTTTTACTGGTAGGAAGGAAGATTGTAATCTGAGTGTACCAGCCTGCAATAGATTAATGTGTCCGTCCGTCCGTCCCCTTTCAATACTCTAACGAAGTGAAATCTCGTGTGACTGTCATCCTTTATTTAACCACGTGAGTGACGTCATTGAGAGTCACTCTCTTGTCGCTGTCATCCTTTGTTTAACCACGTGAGTGACGTCATTGAGAGTCACTCTCTTGTCACTGACATCCTTTATACTGGTAGTAGCGAAGATTGTAAACTGAGTGTACCAGCCTGCAATAGATTAATGTGTCCGTCCGTCCCCTTTCAATACTTTAACGAAGTGAAATCTCGTGCTGTTTGGGTGTAAAATCAGCAATAGACAGCGCAGAGACTTGACAAAATTCCAATGTTCCTACCAGCCCACCCTGCAGGGACCTGTTAACCCCTCCCCCCCAGCGTGTAATATTGTTTTTGTTATTTATAAACACTCGGATTCCCGCACTTTTTATCGCTTGTTTCGTGACCTTCAAGGGGTGAGAAAAAAAATTAAGAACAAAAAACCCCCCTCAGACGTAGCAACTCCGAAGTCTTAAAAAAAAAGACGTGTAAAATTGTATTTATAATCAAACTACTCGGCAACGTAAAATAACAGCCCTCTGCTTGATATGAACCCCGAAGTGTTTAATGTGAGATATAGAAAAAAATATATAGTTTTGTGTTGTTTTTACCTCACAGCAATCCACACGCTCGGTGACGTCACCCTGCAGCTGCGCTCGTGACGTCACGGTGGGGGAGGGGGTTGAGGCACGCGTGACGTCACGGTGCGGGAGAGTGGTTGCGGGCGACCGTGTGACGTCACGGACCCCCCCCCGCACCCCTCCCCTTCCGCGTGACGTCACCCCTCGCGCTCGTGACCTGAACAAGGCAGTTGTTTCGATTTAAAGCTTTCGTGACTGCAAGGATTGATCTTCTTTGGTTCTTTCGGTAAAGTCACCACCACGTAGAATGAGAATAAAATAATAAATTGATAAAATAACACAATAAAATTCTCACGACGTTTCGGCCACAACACAAGCGGCCTTCATCAGGTGAAGGGACAAGACTGTCTGGAGGACAGCGCTGGAGCGAACACAGCCAAGCTCAGACCGCGACCTTTAAGCTGTGTGAGAAGAAACAGAGCGCCTTGACAAAGGAATTAGCATAGAATTTAGCATTGAAATAGCTGAGTGATTAGCTAAATTCAATGCTAATTCCTTTGTCAAGGGGTGCCTCTGCGGATGTGTATGCTTTAACTTTAACATAGCCATTTCTGTGACCAGTCACAAGCTAATCACTCAGCTATTTCAATGCTAAATTATATGCTAATTCCTTTGTCAAGGCGCTTTGTTTCTT